CCCCAAAACCCCAAAACCCCAAAACCCCACTTAATTAATTGGGATTATGTAAATGAGATTATATATTCTAATTATTAATAAAATAAGAAACTTATGATAATGGAAGGTTATTCATCAAACTCCAGACAGACTTAACTGACTATAGAGCTCCCTAGTTGAACCTGTATGATAATAGGCAACTCTGTTGTTTTCTTTCTATATTCAGCTATCACTTTAATTTTTTTGAGTTACTTGATGTTTGTGGAGACAGATGTCTAGTGTTACTCTGACGGATAAACTCTATAGCCATTTAATTCTACTCAGTATGCATCAATGACATGGGAATCAAGATAAAACATAGTGAATGTTTCTTATTGATTCAGATAGCTTCTGATATTTTATCTACTATCATATGGAATTGGAACAGTAGCAGCAGGATTTCTATTGAGTGATTCAATCAAAGGGTAGATAAGGATAGAAAATAAAATTGAGGCAATGAATCAGATATTCACCATGATTTTGTTTTTACCTTTATCCATCTTTAGACTTTCTGCATCAGGAGGAATCTGTTCTGGAGATTACCTAGAGTAATAAGATTTTTATAATGAAAGATTGAATCCAACATTGTCATCATATAATATTGAAAGAGGAAAATTGCTTAACGTTCTAGTTTGGATATATTGCATAATCTATGGAATATTACTAGTAATATGCACAGTAGGAATATCGAAGCAATACTTATTTAAGAAAAGAAGAATAGGAGATTATAATTTACTTTAGAATTGATATAAAGATAAGATATATAAACTTAATGTATTTAATTTTAATTAGTAATTTTGGAACTTTATGATCTCATTAAGACATTAGCACATTACTCTCAAAACATAATGTGCAATGCTCAATTTATGTTGTAAATATCATTCATCAAATCACCATCATCATCGTCATCTAATTCATCGATTAAGTCAGATTTGCCATTAGAAATCACTTTCTTTTCTTGGTTTTATTTAATTAACTGATCAGACTTGCTAATCATAGCTTCATCACTATCTTTACCTTCATTAAGACTTTAACCTCTGCTGACATTCAAATCTAATTTGTTAAGTGAGTCATTCATTCTTTCATTATCTTATACAACATTTTTGTCACCTTCAGCATTGTTATATAAATTTCTTTACTTCCTTTATTAGTTATACTCTTCCATTCTCTAATCAAACTACTTCAGTCTATCTTCAAGTTTCTCTTTACTCTTCATTTTCAATTCCTCCTCTTTCTACTGATAATACTCCTTGGTCTTTTGAGCTAGCAATTCTGTTTTCTCATTTTACTTAGCGGGCATCCAGAAAATGGATGGAGAAGTACTATAGATAAAGTTTTTACAATGAAATTACTTGGTTCTAATAAAGTTACTAATCCTTCTCATATGCTCTATATCCTTTTATGTTCTCATCTACTCATTCGCTATAATGAGCTTCTTTTCAAGTTCTCTTTTTCTATCAATCTCTTTAGATAATCTATCCTCAATCTCTGAAAGTTAAACTTCTTGGATAACATTTTGATCTTTTTAAAGCTTCTCTGTAACCTTCTGAACTACTTGCTCTTATTTTTGCAACTAATAAATAGAAAATTATAAATCTAGTACATACATGGTCTTTCTCCTATTCAAGGTTGACCTTGGCTTTTTCTAGATGCCTAAATAGCATATTGTTCAGTAAGTTTCTGCCTCTAGCTGGAAAGCCTACTCCCCTAGTAGTAATTTGCTAGTTAGAATTGATTGATGCTGTAGTAGTCTATCCTCTAGAACCATAATCACCACGTTCACCACCACCTCTTCTTGTCTCTGATTGTTTAGAATACGATTACTATAATTGATTTGTGTCTTACTTATTATTAGTCTATTTGTCGTCATTAGGTTTTGTCTGATTCTTTGGTTCATTCTCCTAAAGTATTTAAAATTATCTATAGAATTGTTTAGAATGTAGTAGCTCATTACATTAATTACTTCCTGCCATTTTTTAGCTCTTTAAGCTCTCCTCTCCTCATTATTCATTGTCTCTCTCTGATCCAAGTCAATCATTGTATCATCTTTCAAATTTTCAGTTGCATCCGTCTTTTTCAAAGCTGATGATGCTACAATTGAAGTAAGTTTAATGGGAGAGGGGCTTTCCTTTGATGATTCTACTCCCTTTGTTGATGTGAATTTTCTTCGATCATCTCTGGACTAGTATCATGAGATTCATACACATACAAAAATCATTAATATTTACATCCTATAATCATAATCATTATTAAAGTTCAAACGCTGGTTACTTACATATTTTTAGCGTTTGGATTCGTGTTCCTTTTAGTCAATCTCCATTTCATTATCATTTTCAATGCCTTCTTTATCATCATTTCTACTTTTTCTTTTCCCCAATGGCTTGATTTCTGCCATTTCAATGTCATTCATGTTGACTGACGAATTATGAGCAAGTGCAGCAGTAGAGGTGTTAGCTTTTTCAGTTTATTGATTTGCATATTACTGATCGCGGCTACAGCATTTAATTAGCAAATCCAAATTGTAAAAGCAAAGAGTAGTTAATAATTTGATAGAATTACCTAGCTTTTTTAAGTTAAATTTTGAAATCACGAATCTTATCAGAAATAGCTTGCTTTTATTGCAGTAAATCTTTACATTCTCTGTGCAATTAATCAATTGAAGGTTAATTGCTAGAGTCAAATATTGCGGAGTTTTCCTCTGACATTTAATATAAATTAATTATTTACATTTTCTTAGACTTATTAATTTAACTCTAGAATTATTGAATCAACTAGCCGGGGTTTTGGGGTTTTGGGGTTTTGGGG